TAAGACATTAAGCGAGTACGCGTAGTGTACTGCTAAGTACGCCCTACGTACTCAGTCAGGTTGGACTTCGTATTTTGGGCTTCGGGATTGGGCAATTTCTTGGGCTAGGTTGATGTGGGCCTTCGTGGGCCATTTGGAAACAAGGTTTTGGTCTAAGGAAAATTTATTGGTCTTGAGGAAAAGGCCATAATTGGGCCTTGATGATTACGAGATATTGGGCCATTGGAATACCAATAGCTTGGACTAGAATAGATGGATGGGCCTTAAGGAAAGACCGTGAAAGGGTCTTGGCCCAATTTGGAAAGTTGGGCCATACGTTAGGCTTCGGCCCATTACTTGACTTTTGGGCCTTTAGAGTGTGCGTTGGGCCTTGGGATTGAAACAAGCTAGGTTGGGGGTAAAGTAGCCTTTTACCACATGCACGGACTTGTGGTTGTGTATTGGAACCCAATTTCTAATTGGGTGTCATTTTGATGTTGATAGTTCGGGAATCTGTTAACCAGTAACTGGAGTTTTATCTGCGAGACTTCAGCAATGTCAGTTGAGTTATCCTCACTATGTCAACTAGCTCTAAGACACCAATGTCGGCCCTTATCGTATTTGTATTTGGGCTTATCGTATGATATGCTTATTGATTTACATCCTAGTAGTTAGGATGGTGATATGCTTAGTGACTTGGTTAGGTCGGTATCCTGGTATATAGGATGATGCTATGTTAGTGACCGGTTAGGTCTGTATCCTAGTAAATAGGATGTTGCTACGATTAGTGATCTATTAGATCAGTTTGACTGTTATATATGCTAGCGTATGATATTTATGTGCACATATTTGATTGGGGGTTAGGTTGAGGCAGTCCTGCTTTTTGCTGAAGGCCAACATACCCAGGGTGGTCCAAATAAACTGAAGGCCATGCATAAGGGTTCACTCAGGCCGAAGGCCCAGCGAGCGGTCCAGATAGGCTGTAGGCCCTACAAGGCGGTCCAAACGTGCCGAAGGCTTGGAGAGCATTCCAAATAGACTGATGGACTGCGAGGTGGCCTAGTCAAGTTGAAGGCTCATTATGCATGTTATTTCCTTATATGTCATATGGTATGGTTATATATGTATGGTGTTGGTATTTTAGGGGTAACTCACTAAGCCTTCGAGCTTACATTTATCGATTATTGTTTCAGGTACTTCTGATGATTACGGGAAGGCGAAGGCGTGATCATACAGCTCCTCATATTCCATGATTTTATGATTTTATTTTTTGGGATACTATGATGTCTAAACTATTTTGAAAACAAACTATAATAACTTAATGGTTTTAAATGTGATAAAAAGTATTAAATTGGCTTGATTTTTTTATGGGTGTCACAAGTAATCTAGTGCTTTCAGTAATACGGGCCGAATACTACCTTCCACATCAACTCATATTTATCTCAAGTGATCCTCTCAAGACCCTAATTCACAAGGACCCTATTTCTCAAGATCAGTTTTACACTTACCCTGTTAGTTCCTCATAACCACTACTGATCATCTAGTCACTCATTCTATCTAGGCACTCATTCTCAGTTGCCCTTACCATTTGCTTTGCGAATGCCAATCATACACAATATGAGGCTCGATAGACATTCAAATAAATGATTCTACCTCAAATCCACTACTAAACAAGGACAAGGAAGAAAGGCTAAATCAAGCATTCTAAGGCTATAAAATCCTAACTATGTACAATTATACAACATACACAAAGCAAATAGCACTAACATAATCAATCTCATAAGAATAAACTCCTAGGCTAAAGGCACCACAAATCAGAAAACCCAATCACACCTTTCCTATAGGATGCTTAGCCTACCACTTACTAGCATGTAGTTCTACCATCTCATAAAACATCAGTTCTACATTACTCATAATATAAATTGAGATATTTTTGGAAACTACTGGTCGAGATTTAGTTGATTGTACACATTGCTTCACTGAGTTTTTCTCATGTAAAAATCTTAATTTCATTGATAGGTTTTTATGAAAATCTTCAGATCCTTAATTTGACTTTGGAATTACTCTAAAGTTCATCAAAATCCCTCAAACCAGGACTCTGATACCAAATTGTAACACCTCAAATTTCAAAGCAAAATTTTCATTTTTAAATTACCCAAAATATTGTTCATAAACCAAATCATCAGAAAAGAGAAGGTATCTAATACAAATCATCATCACAAAATATCAGACGATCACTAGATACCAAGTAACAAATCTCACAGTGAGTGTTCACAATCAAACATTTGCCTTCCCATGATCCTCAAAAGTACCTAAAACATGGGTGTTGCTATCGGCACCCAATTTATAGGTCAAACCCATTTTGACTTTAGGTATAATGACCCAATTTGATGGGACTTGGGATAGTAATTACATATTCATAATTGTCCGTGACTATCAACATCATCTTTATTTGAACAGTTTCCTTCCCACCCCATCCTACAATCAATTTATTAAATGTTAGTTAATTTTAACATTTTTACCCCTTATAATTAAAATTTATTTTTAGTTTATATTCTTTTCTATTAAAAAAGTTAGTTTTAATCATTATTACTTCAATTTAACATACATTGATATATATATATATATATATATATATATGTATATATATATATATATATGTATATATATATATATATATATATATATATATATATATATATATATATATTGTGTGTGTGTGGTTTGGAATAATCTACAAGTTTGGTCCCTAACATTTTTTTTCACTCGTTGTTGTCGGTATGCTGGTGCGTTAGATCGGCAAATGAGAAATATGTGGTTGTGGTTGAATCTCAAGATCTTTATTTTTTTTAATCTCGAGTGAACCGTCTCATATATATATATATATATATATATATATATATATATATATATATATATATATATAAATGAAATTACATAAGTATAAATATTAATATGAAATTAATTCTTTTCAATATAATAACGGAAATAGTTTTAAAAAGTCGACACACTTACCATCCCATCATTCATTAAACATAAATATTATATTTTTTCATTTGTCATCTCATCATTCATTAAGTATAAGTATTTCAATTTTTCATATTTTTTATTTGACTTAGTTATTAGTGGTATTGACTTATTAAAAATGGTTTTAGGTATGGTGTATTTTGAAATCCCCCTAAAACACATATAATCAACAACTATAAGCACAAAAATTAGGGTGTTCCCCAAGATGCCATGTATAACACCGAATAAATAAACAGGTACGGGTTATGAGCAACCCTGGTGACTATCATTAGTCCTAGTGCGCAAACAACACGCCCTATGGGTTGCCAACAACCCTAAAGACTACCCAAAGTCTCAGTTACACATAAGCAACATAACATAATAATAACATCTAGACACATCTCGTCATCACAGATAATACTATTCTACCACACAGGTAACAATAAGTGACGAAACTCACATGATACTGATGACAGATAAATGTCACACCCAAACTTTTGGAACTACACTCCGCCTAATACACAATAGTTAACCCTAATTAATAATTAAGGTCCACAACCCAACTTACAGGCCCAATCCAACAACTATGCTCCATGAGGATAAAAGACCATTTTACCCCTCCCATGATGCAACCCTAAAACCTTGACCAAAAGTCAAAGTTAGCAAAAACTCAACCTACCAGAACGTAAGTTGGGCGTACGCTTCTCACGTACTGCGTACTCAAAGAATCAAATGACTCTGGGTGAAGCCTGGCTACGTTAGGCGTAGCCAAAAGTACAATGGGTGTACCCCGTCTGATCCCAAAAATCACTTCCGAATGTATTAATCATTAAGACTTGCAATTTGAACATAGATCTGGCCTCCATAGAACGTCTTAATCCATAAAGTCCATAACTTTAAGACTTTCATGGCTAAAATAAGCTTAAATCTCCAAACCCCTAAATCATACCCGAAACCATTAAACTCTTGCATTGGAAGAAAGGGAGCATCAATCAAACATTTTTATGAGTCTACAAGACTTAAAACACATGAAAGGACAGGTAATGTGCTCTGGAGTGCACCATACTCACAAATATCCAAGCTTCGGAAAAAAATCTCATAATAACCCATTTAAGAGATCTAAAAAGAAACACATCAAGGTATAAATTTTATACCTTCAAAAGATGCACAAGGTGAGGTAGTTTCTGGATCCACAGCTTGCAAGCAACATCACCTTCTTCAATAGTCTTATTCTTCTACAATGGAGCACCAAAATCACTAACAAGCTTCAAAATCTTCACACACAAGGCTTAGGCTTGAGAGTAGGGTTTATAAGTAGTGGAGGTTGATAAGAAATGTCCAAGGTAGGTATAAGGTGGATTAAATAGGGAACAAACCCGTAGATCTATGGTTCAGGAGCTGAGCTAGTATTCCATGCAAACCATATGTACAACCAACGTACTAGCATGCATCCCGCATTTCCATTGCTCGATCAACTACGTTGTACGTACCTCACATACGCCCAACGTATGGGTTGAAATGCAAGGATTTAGTCATAAAGGGACATATATGTAAACTTTAATTAATCCAACGAATCAAACGGAAATACCTGAAAACCAAATGGTATAGTCTTTTTTTACACATCTATGTAATGAAATTGTTGAAAGCGTTCATATATGACCATTATGACCGACTGTAAGTTGCTATAAGTGAGGGTTTAAAACTCATTTACTTTATAAGACTAGAAGGTAGACTCATACCTCACCTCTCACCTTTTTAGTGACATGTCTTCTTTCCACTCATTCACCTTTCACTCACCAAAAAACAGGAAATTATCACCTTTCACTTTTATTTTTTTAAAATAAAAATAATTTAGTTTTGAAGGTTATAATTCAAAAAATAAATAAAATTAATTAAAATTGATTAATACATGTAAAATATAAGTAAAATACAAATATTTCATTACTTAAAAATAAAACTCACTTAATAAAAGCTAGGAAACATAATAAAAAATAATAAACCATTAAAAAAGTACGTCACTCTGAATCCTCGTCCTCGTTATCCAAATCATCGCCCGAGTCTTCGATGAACAAATCTGAATCTTCATCTGATTCATCAAACAAATCATTGTGCCAATACTCGATCTCGGATTGTATGTGAGCCTTGTATATGTACTCCACCAAATCTGCATGAAGGGACTGTTGAATGTCGTGATCATGTGCTTCTGTTCTATTTGTTCTATACTCTTGTGTACCAACAACTACTCCTTCAATGTTTGGCCAAACTTCGTTTTCTTCATATTGGCATATCACTATACCTTCATCTTTTAGAATCATATCATGTAATATGATTTATGTGTACATTACGTGTTGTGGCTTTTTCACATTCACATGATCGTACCCCAACTTGTAGGAATTTCCATTGCCTCTTGAGTACACCAAATGTTCACACCATGTCCTTTCTAGTTAACTCTTGTTCCTGGTTAAACTTTTTCCTTTTTTCATCGTTTGGACATGTGAACGGTTTCAAAAAAACATATAAGGTAAGATATATCCCATCTGTAAGATAGTACTCATGATTATATGCTACCTCATTTGCTTCAAAAGGTACATCGTCCGACTTTCCAAGGTAGACGCGTTGAATATCGGGGATCGGTTGAGAACATTAATGTCTTTATTTGCACTAGTTGGAACAACGAATGCATGTAGTATCCAAAGATCATGTGATGTGATTGCTTCTAGAACAATTGTCAGCTCTCTATGATCGCCTCATATGTATTGATCACGTCATACGTTGGGGCACATTGCTTTACATCAGTGCATGAAATCGACGCTACCTAGCATTCCCGAGAACCAATGTCTAATTTCATGCACCGTGTACAATTGGTGGACATCATTGATCGTCGGTTTGTGAAAATATCTTTCCCTGTAGACCAAAGTAATAGATTTTGCAAACTCGTACACAGTTTCTCGTGTAGTATGCTCGAACATCCTCAAATACCAGTTCCTTTTATATGCTCTCCTATCTTATGCTAACTGAGGAATCGCGGTTGCGCATTTTTACATTAGAAAAAAAAAACCTTTTCTGCCTCTCACATCTTGCTTGAGTTGAAAATATAGAATTTGACCTTCCAAATCACCAATAATACTTAAAAATAACTATTTTCTCATCCTAAACTCTTGTTGAAACTTTTCATCATACACGACGTCATCTACAAAATAGTCTTCTATAAGATGATTGGTTTCGGCTACATGATCTCTCCTCAACAGACGTCTTCGAGGCTGTGAACGTGAACTTTGACCTTGGTGGTTTTGGAAATACTTCACTATTTTTTCCTTGATAGTGTTATGGCTAGGATCTATTAACTACAATAAGGATCTTCAAACCTAGGGATCCTCAAACCTTAGGATCCCAAGCACATTTCAGGATCCTGACTATTATTTCCCAAATATTTATAATGGTAATATATTCTATGGTCTTTCTTACATGTGCAGAAACAACCAGTCAAAGACTTGTTCTCAACGAATAGTCGTCATAACCATGCAGAAGACCCAGAACACCAAGTCCAGCAACGTTTATGAGTTGATTTTGGAGGATCCCAAATTTTTTTGAGTTCTTGTTGCTTAGCTTTAGACTATATAAATCTCTTGTATTCATCACACTACACATGAAACTTAGCAGGAAAACAACATTTGTACTGACATTCTTTGTATTTTCTCTGTAATTAACATTTTGATCAATAAAATCATCATTGTAGGTGATCATTATAACCTCCCAAGGATTTATATCAGAGATCCTAGCAAGGAACATGGGCTTCCCTTATAAACAACATGTATCGCTTTGATCTATATTTCATACTCTTATTACTATAACATCACAACCTATAATACATTTTGGATGATTTTAGCTTGTTCATTTTTCGACCAAAACAATTTGGTGCCATCCGTGGGAACGTGGTGTTCATAATCCTTTGAAAAATCATCTTTATACAATCGAACCTGTCCTCTTCCTGCATTCCTCCCATTTCTTCCATAAACCTTCCACCACGTCCAGCTAGAGCTCCCAAGAAATCCTCAGAAGCAATGAAGAAAAATATATATATCTGATAGTTACCCTAGGACCCCAGGATCCTGCTGTGTTGATTTCCAACAATGAAATATTCACTATGATGAAGGGACTAGAACGACAAGTCACCTAGTAGTAGTAGGGAAATAGGACAATTCTCAAGGAAGTAGAAAGAATGAGTACCAAAACCCACAAACCTCAGGAGGCAGTGCCCTCGATCTTGTAACCTAAGATCTTGAACTTTGGTAACCCGGGATCCTCAGTGGTTCATTGCGAGAAAGGATCCTTAATAATGACTTTTTTTCCCGCTTGGGACGTGACTCTGAGGAACCAAGCCCACACAACCCAAGATCCTAACAAAGCCTTTGTTACTCCCACTAACAAGGATCCTGGTAACTTCATCAATAATAATATCTCTACTACGAATTCAGTGGATCTTGATGCAGGTTTAAGCCTGATGATGGCTAAGGAACTGCAACAACTAAGAGAAATTATCTCAAGCATACCCGGAGTAGTTCAGCCTGTACTGAAAGTATCCCCCACGAGCCACATGATCTCTAAATTCGTTCCAGCCATAGCTGATAACGAAGTCCTAAATCACTTTCAGACTCGCAGCATGAAGCCTTATGATGAAACTACAAATCATGAGGAGAACGTGGAACAATACCAAGAAAGGATGGTGATAATTCCCATCCCCACTAATTTCAAATAAGCGTGCCTGTGCAAGGGTTTTGGTTCCACTTACGGGATCAACTCTGAAATGGCTTGTTAATGTTGCTCCTTATTCGATTACATCCTTTTCTCATTTGATTAATTTATTTAAAAATTAGTTTTCTTGTAGCAGAACATTCAAAAAAGATCACTAGCAATATCTATCGAGTGGTCCTGGATCCTAAAGAATCCCTTATGAATTTTGTGAATAGGTTTTCCAGGGAAGCTCTAAGCATCCCCAACACTGACATGGCGACTGCAGTTGAAGCCTTTAAAATGGGCTTAAAGAAGGATTCTCCCTTCTATGAAGACCTTGTAATGACTCCATGCAAGATAATGGACGAACTCAAAAGTACAACACTAAGGTTCATCAAGCTCAAAGAAGACAAGGAGATCCAAAAGAGGATCAACCCACCAAGCTCTTATGATTACCCTAATAGGATGGCTGATTCCTCACCCCAAAGATCCTATAAATCGAAACCTTATTCCAAACCTAACCATCACATGGTTAATTCCCTTGAAGATTAGGGAGAGGAAGAAGATTTTGTTGGATTAGTGTCTAAGTACATAACTATATTTGGTATGTACTTGACCCAGTTATAGCATGGTCCTTTTGGGTTGCCTTCACCGGAGCAACTTAACTGGATAATTAGTGGAGAAATAGGATATTATGGTTTATTAATATATTAAATGAATAATATATTAAAAGAGAAATCACTTTGATTAATTAATATTGGTCAAGATTTAATAAAGAAATTAATTTTGTGATCAAACGATATTAATTAAACTTAGGGGACTGGAATTACAATTATAAGATAATTGGATTTTGGGATGTGGATCATATGGATAAAGGGGTGGAATAAATTAGGGTGGAAGCCCACCTTGAAATCGTTCAAGGCCTTATTCCAGAAGGTTCCGTTGGACTGCTTAAGGCCTAAGCTATCGAATTAGGGTTTGACTGAAACCCTACCAACTCCACTATATAAGAACCCTTAGGGCTTTCGAATCTAGCCACTAGAAACCCTAAGAAGTCATAGAGCCGACTTTGAGCCTCTCATCCTCTCTCTCCAAGATCATCTAATTTGCTTTGGTGTTTGTGATCCACTAGAGGCATCACATTTGAGGTGCTAGGTTCTCATAACCAAAAGATCTTTAAGCAACAATCAAGGTAACATTCTTGTTGGTTATTTATGTTATTTTCATGTTTTTTGTATGCTAGATTATGGTTTGTAAGCTTTGGATGATTTGCATATACGATAGAGAAACCTAGATCCAAAGCTTCAGGGTTTGCATGTGCACCATATGATTGATATATTGGTCAAAACCCATCAGTGGTATCAGAGCCTTGATTGGTTCTATTGTGTTTGATGCATTGTATGATTACTGATTGCATAAAATCAAAATTTTTGCTTTTTGCCTGACAAACTCGTCGAGTCACCTGATGAACTTGACGAGTCCAGATGGTGACTCGGCGAGTCGGAGAGTCAGACAAGGGAAATTTCCACATTTTGGCCTATTTTGACTTAGGATAATGACCAAAAACGTTTTTGATTGATAAAATCCGAATTTTATTAATATGATGTGATTATTCTTATCAAAATAGAAGATAATTGTCAATTAATTAGATAGTTATTGCCTTATATGATAAACTTTAATTATTTGAATTATTTGAAAGAATTATCTTGCCATGGAATTGGATTAGTTCAAAATTAAATAATCACCAATTAATCGTTTAATTGAATTATTTGAATTTTGATCTAGAAAGTTTTGAAAATTTTCAAACCTTGCCCTCAATTTTTGGAATTTAAATTTTGATTAAAAAGTTTAATTTTGAAATATATAAATTCTAAACCGTAGAATTTTACAAGTTTAAAATTCAACACTTATATTATTATAATATTATAATAATAATGATTATATATGTAAAGATTAATGCTAGTCTTACCATTAATAGGCCTCATTCACGAAGCCGATCTATAAGGGGGTGTAATGTTGCTGCCTATAAAATTGCAGTTTAATGGGTGTCCACTCTCACCCACCGCTTCCTTGATTGGTGGAGGATCATTAGCCGAACGGGTAGGATAGGGCTACTAATTCCTCATTAAAAGTATAATGGTTAATAAAATAACTAAATATTTTTTTAATATTCCCAATCTTAGTTACTTTAGGAAAAATGTGAAAATGATATTATTCCATGAAATTACACTTTGTACCCTTGCCAAGACGTTAGTGGAGCGTGTGTAGTTAACCGACACACTAATTTGGGTCTAGCTAAGGTGGCAAAGGGTAAATAAATGTTTCTCATAGATCAATGGAGCGTGTGTGGCTAATCGGCACATTGATTAGGTGACTATAACATTGAGGGCACCAAGTACATTTGCATGGTTATTCACACCTTGTTTGTGATCCTCGGTATCCTCATCACAAACTTGAAGGGCATATGGATATTTAAACATGCCATTGAAAAGTTCAATGAGTCTCAAAAGATCTAGGAGTTTCAATACATTTAAAACTTAATCTTTTTTCATCTTTCATGGTGGAAATTTATGAATCGTCATTC